TATTGGCCCGAATATAAGACGACCCTGATTATAAGACGACCCCCCTTTTTCCAGATGTACCTTTACAACACGCATTACATTACGTATTTCATGGCACACTCGTTTTATGCGTATTTGGCGCCACCTATTGTTGTGGGTGTATTATTGACATGTCAAAATCTAGACCCTGAATATAAGACGACCGCGTTTTTTCAGATGTATTTCCAAGAAAAAAACATCGTCTTATATTCGGGTCAATACGGTAATTCATCCTTCCACAAATTAAGACCATAAAAAGATCTTAAAGCAAAGCACATTCTTAAATTCATAAAGTCATAGCATTAAATCTTGCATGTATGGCAGAAAAAGAATCAGATCTTCCTCAGAATTTTTGTCTTGTTTTCCAATACAAATACCTAAATACTTTTAAATTCAAGATACATTCACTTGTGATGCAAAATGAAGATATGAAGTATTCATTTTGCATCTCAAGAAATTGAACAAAATGAAGTGAATTTATGCTTAAACAACAACAAATATCTGTCAGTGGGCTCAGAAAACTTTCTCTGAGCCCATTGGCATATGTTTGTTCTTTCTAATCATAAACTCACTTCATTTTGATCAGTTTCTGAGAAAACAAGACTTCTTACCATTATGTAATTTTGCTTCTTAAGTAAATGTAAATTAATTTAAGAATCTTTAGACATTTACACTGGAAAACAAGCACTTTTTGCAGTGTAATCAGAAGTGCAGTAAAAGTTATATCCATATTTTAGTGTTTGGGAGCAGAGCTATTCAAGCCTTTAGATAATTATTTATTTACTGTACTTATTTTTAATTAAAAAGTAGCAAAGATTTGTTGGAAGTTGTATTTTTAAACTTTGAAGTGTTGCTAATACTCCCTAGACATTTACATTTAGATGACATATTGACATACTGTTTTCCTTTTGGTTTATTTTTGGTTTATTTACACTTGGTTTTAAAATAAGTCTTAAATTTACATTCATAAAACCTGCAGAAACTTCGTATACTGCGCAGCACACAAATGTTTCTAATAATATCATATTGGCCACGGTATTAGCAATCATTTAAGCTTGAAATGTTACTTGTATTCCAATGTAAGAACGTTTATATCATGCACATTTGTTGTGCTTCCTACTCTTGAGTTTAGTTGATTCATTTCCTGCTCCTGTGTATTTACAGCCCAATTAGAAAGATTCGAGATCCCACGGAAGGTCCGGCTGAGCGTTGAGCCCTGGACCCCAGAGACCGGCCTGGTTACAGACGCTGTTAAACTAAAACGAAAGGAGCTAAAATCTCACTACCAGAACGACATTGAGAGGATGTATGGTGCCAAATAGAGCCAAACCACTGCTGATTCCAGACAAAACCACTGGACAGGCAAGAAAATGTACTTATCTCACTATAGCAACCTCCAATCAGGATGGAGATTTCCAATGGACGTTACAGACGTGAACATAATCGTTTGGAAATGTTTACATACAGTGTGATGACCAACACTCACAACCAGCAGTACTTAAAGGTGCCAAGAGTGATGTTAGCCTTGCTAACTTCTGCCAGACTTAGCTGCTAAATTAAAGCTGTTAAATCCCTTCCAAATACACGCATGCTCTCCAAAACCCTGCAATGTCAACAAATCAGAAGTGAAATAACTGAAAAGTAAAAAGGTTCAGTGCCGTTACATGCATCCAAATAATCCAATAATAATGGCTCAATCAGACTGAAAACCTTCATGTAAACACCTCGATTGAGCCGACTGAGCTTGATCCAAATGACATTTCGATCAGATTGAAATAGGTGGTGTAGACCTGAAAAAAAAAATGCAGATTATCAGATTCAAAAATAGCTTGCACATTTGTGCAATGCAGAGAAGTGTTTTACGTCATACAAACGTGTTTATTCACGTGTCACATTTAATATGACATTTCGATCAGATTGAAATAGGTGGTGTAGACCTGAAAAAAATCTGTTCAATCGGAAAAAAATTCAGATTATCAGATTCAAAAATAGCTTGCACATTTGTGCAATGCAGAGAAGTGTTTTACGTCATACAAACGTGTTTATTCACGTGTCACATTTAATGAACTGGTCAGTTGAGGAGACATAATATGTGCTAACAGTATTTGCTAAAAAAACAGTTCTAACATGTCAGTTTTTGTTTTAGAAATCAAGGCAAAAACTGCAATTATGCTTGCTGCACAAAAGATTAGTGCATGTAAACATACTTAATGTGATTTCTCAGGACATTTTTATGCATGTTATTCCCCAAAAAAGCTTTATCATGGCTTTAAATACTTCCCATGATGCTTTGGATCTCCAAAAGTCAGTTTCACAGTAGGTCAATCTCGCTCTGTGTCGCACATAACTCCCAGTTCTTGTTGTTCCCCATACACAAATGATGCATTATGGGATGTTTTTCTAATCTTACATTCTCATTGAAACCTTCAGTTTCAAACAAATACAACTCGTAGATATCTTAATGAAACTCTTCCAACATGTTTACATCAGCAATTTTCTCTCCAAACACATCTGGAATACTAAAACCATTATTTCCTTTTTTTCAATCTTTCCGTAACCTTCTTTTAATACTGTCAGAAGGAGACCAATGATCTAGAAAAATCAAATATATTTAAGCTTAATTTATTGTTGCAATAATTAGCTTTATTTAAATATAAGAACTTGCTTATTGGAGAGTATGAAATCCCCAAAGCATTTCTGCTCATTGGATGATGCTGATTGATGTTCCAGGACTGGAATGTTCCTATTGGGTGACTGTATATCCTGCTGGACAGGATAATAGATCTAGTATAATTATACTAATATAAACCATTCAAACAGTTCCATTTAACTTTTTGACATGATTTCGCTCATTTCAGGGAGGTTTTCCACTCTTTGTCTATAGACAAACTGACATTGTCAGTTGAGCAAGTTGAACTGTTTCATTTAGAAATAAAGAAGAGACCAGATAAGGCTTGATGCAAATGGAGGTGTAAATTCTTAAGATCAGGGTATCAAGGTTTGGCTGGTTAGCTTAACTAACTAGTCTGTGTTTTTGGTCAAATAGGCAAAATATATTTTCTCCATTGAAGGCCATTCAAAATCTATGGAAGCCGTTTCCGCCACTGAATAAAAAAAAACCAAACAAGGTAATTGCGACTTTTTTTCTCACAATTCTGACTTTTTTTTCCTCACAATTACAGAATTTACATTTTTGAGCCATAAATGTCACCTGACTGATCACTATATTAGTGCTCTCTGCAGAAGAGGGAGAAAAATAGATATTTTTTCCCATTGTTAAAAGCCTGCCAAAAAGATAGAACATCTAATACAATACACTGAATTTTTTTTGTCATTTTATATTCAGTTTATTTCAGAATACATGGCTGTTTTTTATGGAAGCCTGTTTCCACCACTGAATAAAAAATAAAGAACGTAATTATGACTTTTATCTCAGAATTGTGTGATACAAACTCGCAATTCTGACTTTTCTCAGATTTGTGAGACATAAACTTTCAATTGCAAGTTATAAAGTCAGAATTGTAAGATATAAACTCTCAATTCTGACTTTACTCAGAATTGTGAGATATAAACTCTCAACTGCAAGTTATACAATCCAGTTCTGAGGAGAAAAAAAGACAATTTTCTTACAATTGTTCCAATTCTCACGAGTTTATATCTTGCAATTCTGACTTTATTTCTCAGAATTGCAAGTTTATATCACACAATTCTGAGATAAAAGTCATAATTACGTTCTTTATTTTTTATTCAGTGGTAGAAACAGGCTTCCATAAAAAACAGCCATGTATTCTGAAATAAACTGAATATAAAATGACAAAAAAAATTCAGTGTATTGTATTAGATGTTCTATCTTTTTGGCAGGCTTTTAACAATGGGAAAAAATATCTATTTTTCTCTCTCTTCTGCAGAGAGCACTAATATAGTGATCAGTCAGGTGACATTTATGGCTCAAAAATACTGCTTCAGAACAAAGTGTGCATGAAGTAAAAATAGAGTTGAATATAGATGGAGTTGAATTAGACTTCCTTGTTTTTTATTCATAGCTGATCTCTGATCAATAAAAGCGCTCCCTGCCCCTCTCTTTTTCTTTCCTCTCTGTTTGTTAAATGAACTCACTGCGATCCCTGTGGAAGCGGAAGTCGTAAACTCCCTGTTCTCGTAGTTTATTTCTCTCACGCTCTCTCTCCTCTCAACATTATTACTTTGTCCTTTTGGTCCTACGCTGTTTGGTGCCCCTGATAATAGCCTGTTTTGAACTAAAATGAAATCATACATTGCTATATCAGGCCATAAGTTATTCATTTATTTTGTCATTTGCCTTGAAATCGATCCTGTGAAGTTAAGATAATGGAATAAAGGGCTTTCCTGTGCAAAACTCAACTTTGTGGGTTATTCCTATGAAGCACATGTCCCAAACAACATCTATGTCTTATGAATAAACTCCGTTTTTAAAGATCACTATTAAGTAAACAGAGTAAGTTATTAATTATTTTAGTTTACATGCATGTTGCCATTTTTTGTGTTCATGATTTTTTTTTCTTTTAAGAATTGAAATATTGCATATTCACTTGTGCATATTATTTTAACTGGTAATCAATTTTATCTACACTTTCCATTTTATTGGTCTTTTGTGAAATCCCCTTAACAAACAAAAGCCAGTTTCCCTAAGGACAGCACAAACGTCAGTAAGTATTAGCTATGGATTTTAATAATTATGTGTCACTCCAAAACATTCAAAATCAACTACAGGTTAAAAAGTGTTAAAAGTTTTAAAGAAAGACCTCAATCCTTCACTGAGCAATGACTAACTTTAGCTCCATTGTGTAAATACTAGAATGAATAAAGTTGAAGTGTCTGATCTTGACCAGAGCATATATCTGATGGTCCGCTATACCCTTTTATAGAAATACTTCCATAATACAGCTGTGGAGCTGTGGAACAGTCCCTATAGTGATTGTAAAACGTCCATGTAACTGAAGGAGCGTTATAATGCTGATGGTTTTCCTCCGATTCACCTTATAATGCGTTTGTGTCTGTAATGTGTTCTCAGACAGGGAACTGACCCAGAACTGCTGATTTGATCAGATTTTCATGTGCTTTGCGTCAGTTCTCTGTTACTCGATCCTAATTGACAGGTGTGGTCAGGCATTGGTTTGCACATTCTGGCTCCAGTTTTCCACAGTCATGCCACACCTACCCATCATGCATCACTGCCAGACAGATGAGGTTGGCATAGATTCTAACATGCTTTCACTGCTGACGTAAATCAGACCAGGAGACCCTTGAAAACTACGTCAGTGGGGTTGTAAGGTACAGCTTAACTTTGCTTATTCAAACGCATGGCATGGCATTAGTCCCACTGTACATTTGATTAATAATGTTATTTTTTATTTTAAATGTTTCCAGTTTATATTTTTTTAAATGCTTCATTATTTAGGCTACCTCACGATGTTTCATTGTTGTTGTTGCAAATTGATTGCTACTCACATAAAGCTATCGCCTTCATTTGTGATGCTGATGCAAGTTATTTTCCTTGAATGTGTGAGACTTTCGATTGAATAGCTGCTAGATAAATTACTAGAAGAAAGAATAAAGTGCAGTAAACTGTAAACTATTTGTGCTATAAACCAGTGTTTATGATTATGATAATGAATTAAAATATAGTAACAAATACCAATATCAAACAGCATAACGGTCTGTTATTGTACAGGTAAAATAACTGGAAGCAAATGAGACCGGAAGTCTCGCACATTAAATTTACACCTGCCATTAGCCTGGTTGTGGCTAAAAGGGATACAGCTAAACGATAAAGCTAACAAGTTCAATTTTATACTATTAGATTGTGTTTTATTAACGTCTACACCAGGGCTGTCCAAACTCGGTCCTGGAGGGCCGGTGTCCTGCAGAGTTTAGCTCCAACTTGCCTCAACACACCTGACTGGAAGTTTCTATGCCTAGTAAGAGCTTGATTAGCTGGTTCAGGTGTGTTTAATTAGGGTTGGAGCTAAACTCTGCAGCACACCGGCTCTCCAGGACCGAGTTTGGACAGCCCTGGTCTACACCTACCCCAACCCTACTGCAGAGTTTAGCTCCAACCCTAATTAAACACACCTGAACCAGCTAATCAAGCTCTTATAGGCATACTAGAAACTTGAAGGCAGGCGTGTTGAGGCAAGTTGGAGCTAAACTCTGCAGGTCACCGGCCCTCCAGGACTGAGTTTGGGCACCCCTGGTCTACACCTACCCCAACCCTAAACCTACCCCTTACAATAATGCAAAAACAGTAATTATTGTTGTACAGTGTGACAAAAATTATGCTATTGATGTGCGCATGCCCAGTATTCGAATCTGTATACCATCTAGCCTTAACCAATTAGCCTATGTTAAAAATAAAGTGGATAGCATCATATGGACTACTTTAAATATACTTTTTGTATGCTTCTTTTTTCTTTTTTAACTAGACCGCTTTAGAATAAAATCAAGTTCAGGTTTTGGAGCAACATGACCATTCCAACGGTTTTTGAAAGGCAAGCTGTCCTGCTGGCTTTCCTAAAGCAAGCCTGTCTGGTTATGTTATGATAGATGAGCACGTTTGGCAGCACTGCGCACTTGGACTCCATTAAACGTCATAAGAATGTGGCTGTGAGCTCAAGCGTCTCTGGCCGGGACTCAAATCCTGTGAGGAAGGACGTGAGGATCTCGACTCCCTCAACCTCGGTCACAGATCCTCCTGGCGCGTGGCCACGCATGGGATCCGCTATTTAAACCGGACTCAGCTGACAACCCCGTTACAAGCCAGAGACTCGAGGAAAAGCGAGGAAGGGTGAAACATCCCGGTGAGTAACTAACTTTAATGTAAACTCTTATAAAGTCACGAAAAGACATAAAAACAATATTATAAACACATTTAATGCTTAAAATGTGCACTTTTTAAACATAAGTAGGCCTACGTCTTTTTAAATCATGTCTAAATATTGGAGTGATGTATAAAGTTATTATAAAGTGATTTTTTTTTTTTACTTTGTTAGTTTAGGTACTCTGTTTTTTTTCTAAGATGTTAAACCCGGTTGTGATGCAGTCTCCAAAATTAATGTTTGTCAAAGATTTTTTTAAATTCACCATTTAGGTTGTTTTTGATCCAGTTTTAGTCTTAACCTTTTTTTAACAGTTGTTTATTTTATTTTTAATTTAAAAAAATTTTAACAGATATTTATTTTTATTTCTTCCTCTCGTTATTATTATTATTAGTCTATTGTCATTACTACTACTACGACTACTTGTAGCCTACATCTTTTAAAGGACTACGTTTTAACTTTCTCTCTCTCTCTGTAATTTTACAGATAACCGTTTCGTTCGTAGTAATGGAGTTGGCGCGCAACGCCTCCGCGCTTTCGTCGCAGCAGACCAACCGAATCGCCTTGCCCGGTGGAAGCGACAGTAACGTGTATTTGTACATCGTCATCGTGGTGTCTTTCTACGGAGTCTTCCTCACTGGGATCATGCTCGGTTACCTGCGCACCAAACGGCGCGAGAAGAGGCGCACGAACGCCTTCACGCGGCTTCTGCACGAGGAGGAGCAGCGTGAGTGGGGCGCGAGCCAGAAGAAGCACAGCTTCAGCCTCCCCGCGTTTCCCGCCCTGCGCTCCACGCCGGTGCCGTTCATGCGGGAACCGGGAACCGGCGGCAAGGTTCTCGCGCCTCTGGCGTGCGCGCTGTGCTCGGTGGAGCAGAGCAGCGTGAGCTCCCTCAGCTCCGTCGCCGATGTGCGCTTCGCCATTGAAGAGGAGTCTGACAGCGGCGGACACAGTGACTGACCGTCCCGGGAAAACCTCAAAGAAGCGCTCTGAGGTTCCCGCTGCAAACCGTTACTATGCCGTTTACTATGGCAACCATAGTTCGCGCCGAAAAGCAATGATTAGCCTACCACAGTTAATGTTACTAAAAATAAAACTGTTTTAAGTTGGTACTAGCCACCGTTGCAATAATAAATGTATTAAAGAAAGTTTCTGAAAGGCCCTTGTACTGTTTTAAGAAAATCCTGTGTTAATTTATTGAGGTTTTACTGTTGTAAATAACTGTAGTAACTTGGCGGGAACTGTGGTTCACGTGATGAAAGTTCTCCGAAGTGCCTTGATGGGAAGCATGAACTCTTATGCCAGAAACAGATTTTTACACAAGCACATATCTTGTGATATAAATTGGATTTGACACGTCTTGGAATAGGCTACAATGACGCACGAAATTCAAATTGTGTTACTAGAAGTGTATTTCCTCGCATACTTGTGTGAAGTATGTTTCAGGCCTTAAGCGCGATGTAAACGTTGAGATAAACCTGGAAGTCACTTGAAGAAAAAACTTTGAAAATTCAATTTACTTTAAAGGCCTATATCATTCACACAGATGTGTAAATTATTAAAAAAAAAGAAAAAGATCTGTATATATTGTTCTATGTGCATGGATATGTCTATTTAAATTGTACCTTATTTTATGTGTAAGCTAAATAAAATGTTCCTTCAGAATGTGAAGGTTTTGTGGCTGTCATGTTTGCACTTACCGTTTATTGTCACTTGGGGGAGTCAAAGACCTCCGGGGCTTCTCTGGGGAATTTTTCTCACAGATTAGGGTTTTTGAAGCTTTATACACCTAGTAGGAACTATATGTAAAACGGATTTTCTTGGTAACATTTTAAGACAGAAGCATTCATAAATGTAATTAAATGTTTCAAAGAAAATCATTTTAGATATTTCCAGATGCAATTAGACATTCAGAACCCCTTTGCAGATGAGAAAAGATTATGAGAGGCTCTTGGCGTCATTGTAGAGATAAAGATCTTTCGAGCGTCCACTCCTGAAACATTTTTCATTCTATTATTCCCCTTGAGAATAGGCTAGATATTCAATCAAGGACAAAGGGGGTTTTCTATATTTCATGATTCTGTGCTTCTACACAGATCTGCATGATTATAACTAGAATCCTTCATAATCATCATCCTCACAGTCTTTGTTATCCTAATCCTAATCAAATGACATCTCATGCACAAGTGTCAGTGACCCGTCTTCCGCCCCAGGGAGTACAGTGGAAAGTTCTCGCATGTTCCGTCTGAGTGGCTCGTTTCCAATAAAAATTTACTCGATTCATCTGATGCGAGTTGAATGCAGTATTAGGAAAGTTTTTGAAGTAAACTATTCAGCTTTTGACACCGATATCACCTCAAAAGGCAGATGACCTGTTGGTCTTCCTGCTTTTTAAAGTGATGAGTAAAAAGTGAAACCCAACTGTTGCTGTGGTGAACTTGAAAAACATTTCATTTTGTTTTTTTGAGTTACATAAAACACAATGATACATAATGAATAAAACTTCCGAACAAAACACTGCATGTGAATAATTTACTGAATCATTTTTGCCTTATCAAAGATCATGAATAATAACCATGTCATGAAAATCAGATTTTTTCTAAAGTCAAAATACAAACAGCATGCTTACACGTGTCTCTGTTTATGGCCCAACCTTATGCTCCCTCCCAGATAGATTAATTTTGATTAAATGATTGCGACTGCGTGAAAGACAGAACGAGGGAGTCAGAAGAGAGGCTAGTGTGACTCATACTCCCAACAGAGGAAATGAAATGCACATCCTCCCTCTCTATGCTTCTCTTCTGTGGCTCTGTTACATCTATGGCATGAATGGAGTGTTCAGAATCAGTTTTATTGTTTCTGTGCTACAGTAACTGTTGTATTGTTAACAGGACAGCGGTTACTGACCCGGGAACAGCTCTTTTATGATGCATTTGACTTTTATCATCCAGCGTTTTCTCTAACACAGTGGTTCTCAAACCTCTCCATGAAGTACCCCCAGCACTGCACATTTTGTATGTCTCCCTCTATCTGACACACCCACACTTCAGGTCTTGCAGTCTCCACTAAAGAGCTGAATTAGGTGTGATAGCTGAGGGAGACATACAAAATGTGCAGGGCTGGGGGAACTTCAGGACAGGTTGAGAACCACTGCTCTAACAGTATGTTCTGGCTCTAAAATACAATGAAGTAGCTAAAGGGAAGCTGTCAATCACAGCAAAGGGCATAAGTGGTTCATTGGCACTGTATTCCAATTTCCAATTCTTCTGAATTCAACAAACTGAAAAATTATTTAGCCTACTGAAAATTCACATAAGCAGCTTTTAAAACTTCAGTCTCGATCAGTCAGCTATGCAAATGCGAATTAATCGGACAAGAAGATTAATCTGTGAAAAGCAAAGTATTGTAAGTGTTCCTAGAACAATATCTTCTGATTTCAGAGGACTTGAAAGTGTGCGAATCCCATCATGCATGTCAAGGCTAGTCAACTCCGGTCCTGGAGGGCCAGTTATCTGCATAGTTTACTTCCAACCCTTATCCAGCACACCTGTTCATCATTTTTAAATAGTCCTGAATACTTTGATTAGCTTGGTCAGGTTTGTTTAATTAGGGGTGGAACTAAACTCTGCAGGACAGCGGCCCTCCAGGAGCCGAGTTGAAGAGCCCTGATGTATGTTATTGTGCAAACCGGTTTCATTTGAGCGACTTGAACACGAATGTTTAGCCCACATGTTAACAGTACAATTCTACAAATTATCTCAGAGCCCTTTAAAGCGAACCAAAACCGTGGTGGTCTGATGGTTTCTTACAACATGCGTTGCGAACACGAGCGCTTCGGGCCCGTTTGAATTTCTCATTCGCAAATTCCTAAATTTTGATCATTACTCTTTCTGTCCCTTGTCAAAAAATCCTATTGGAATTTCAGTTTATCCTTTAGGATCTTACAGGATTCTTAGAATCCTATTGGACATTCTGATTTATTTTAATGGAATTTCACTTTGTCCTGTAGGATTTTATTTGATTCTTAGAATCTTATTGGACATTGTGTTTTATGAGATTTTAAAGGGGTCATATGATGTTGCTTAAAAGAACATTATTTTGTGTATTTGGTGTAATGAAATGAGTTTATGCGGTTTAAGGTTAAAAAAAACACATTATT